ACTATTTTATATATATTTCAAATATATTATTCTTGACACATTAATGACTAATTTTTTCTGACTTTAAGATTTAATTTCGCTGTTGTGAATTTGGGGCATCTTTTTATATCTTTACCAAGAATTCTTTTTAATCATTCTTTTGAGACACTACTTTATATATATTTTGAATATATTATTCTTGGTATAACTTGTAAGTCTCCGAATTTATTATTCAAAATAATAAATTTGAATCCTATTATTTGTTTGAACGTATACCTTAAGCCATTTTTGTGAATTCATTTGATCAACTAAGAAAATTCTTTGGAAAACACAATATTATTTGTGTCCGGTCTATTCAGTTTTAAATAATTTTGAAATACTATTTGACAAGAATAATGTTAAAAGCAAAGATAATTAGTAATCCTGATATAAGGTTCAATATAGATATTCCATTAAAGGGAATTAGAAATTAGTGTGAAGTCCGAAAGGAAAGCCTTACAATATAAATAATTAAATGGTGCGTTTGTGTTCTGTACTAATACTAAGTCAATTTTGTGAATATTACATAGAGATTCAAACCATAAATTAAATATAATATAAATAATCTATGGATATTCATTGGTTTATAATAATCTATGGATTATTTATATTACCTGTTCAATATTCGGTTCATATTACTAATTACACGTCATTTAAATAATATAACTAGGACATTCTTTGTTTGAAAGAGAAATAATAATGAGTCAAAAGAAAAGCCTTACAACATAAATAATTAAATGGCGTATTTGTATTTTGTACTGTAAAGTCAATTCATGAATATTACGCGTAGAGATTCAAACCATAAATTAAAGATAATATAAATAATATATGCATATTCATCGGTTTATAATAATCTATGAATTATTTATATTATCTGTTCAATATTCGGTTCGTATCACTAATTACGTGTCATTTAAATGACATAACTAGGAAAATTCTTTGTTTGGAATGAAAATAATAATGAGCCGAAAGAAAAGCCTTATAGTATAAATAATTGAATAGCAAGTTCGCGTTTTGTATTAGTATTTCAAGATACTGTGAGTGGGTAAAAATTGAGAAGTCCAAAAATAGATTTTTATAATAAATTTTTATGTTTCCTTGCAAATAACATGTGATAATACTAAGTCACTTTGTGAATACTATATTTATTTTTAAATGAATACTGAAACAAGTACAACCTGGAAGAACAAAATTGGTATCTAACGTGTCACTAATGAAGTCATTATATGTTAGACCAAGTTATGGAAAATACTAAAAAGAAAGCAAAGGTAATGCAATTAGTAATCCCTGACATAGTTTCAGATTACATATTTTAATTAATTTATTTAGCAAGATTGGACACAATATGTGAGTAAAGACCATACTCTGACTATATGCATTCCTCTATGAATGGCCTGCTGATCGTGGTTTTTACAACAATAACGATGATATGATTAGATATCTCAAAAAGATACCTGAATACGATTAATAAGTCCATCATAAAATACTAGATATTTGCATTGGCCTTTGATAAACAAACAGCCAGAGATGCTACGGCTACGTTAACACCTCTGACATTTCACAAGTTGTATTCTTTTTTTAAAAAATATTTCACAGACCTTGAAGAAGAAATTGTTCTTAGAAATAATTGGATCACAGATGATAATATAAAAGAAATTAAATGTCTTAATAACTATACATATCTCTTCAGAAATGAAGAAGACAAATCAACTACGCTCAAAAATTTTATGTGTGACTGCTACCAGGCTTCGATTGATAACATAGCAAAAATAGCCTGTGAGGAGTCCATAGGTACTTTGGTTGAATTATTATTTGAGCCTTTATCCCTTAAAAAAAAA